GGAATTTGGGTTGCTGCATTACTTTACAGAGGAGAAGCTACACGAACTGATAACCCCAGATAGGTTACTAACACTCCTTGGAAACTGTGTATGTTGTGTGTCAGAGGAAAGATATAGCTGAAAATTATGTTTCTCACTTAGTTTCTCTCTCTCTCAAACACAAACATACACATACCCACACATCCTGAGTTGCTCTCAGCAGAAGGGTGACATATTAAAATTTACTAATCTAAACCACCCTCGGAGATGATCTGAAGTGGCTTTTCTATGCATAACTAATAGGCACCTATCAAGAGACAGCTATTTCTGTACCATGATGAGAGGCAATAAATCCATAAATAAATAGCAACCATTGGCATTTTTTGGATGAAGGAAGCATTTTACGTAGGAGCTGGGGTCTTCCCTGTCCAGCTCCCCCATCCCCTTTGACAAAGACAAATGAAATATGTGATTTTTCATGGTTTTCAATTCTGTTTTTAAAGGAAGTGCATAACTGGGAATAAAGAAATGGCCTCATTGAAATAAAGGTAAGTGTTGTCATGAATTTCAACAGAACCAAGATATTCCCCCCAAAGGGGAGAAAATATCTGCTCATGTAAAGGGACACTTACCATATCTGGAAGTCTCATTTTTTGGCAAGTTAGCTCGAAGAATGAAGTTGTTCAAGCTGTTGAGATAGGCTGGAAGGCTGTGATAACCTTCGGGATTATACCATACCTGCACACAATTGAGACATTGAAACAATTTGGGAGAGAAAACGTTACTGATAACATTTTTGTTTGTTCTGCTTGCACGAATCGATCATTCCACAGTTGTTATCTAAAGTCATAAGCTTTACAAGTTAAAGTCCAATGATTAAACCATATCAAGTACCAAATAAGTATAAAAGCACATTTCACTTTCAGCACAAGCAGTCCCATCAGCTTCGTTTGCCTTCTGGGAGAGAAGAAAGAAGCACTAGCTGGATATGTGACATAAAGCATACAGACATTAGCTTTCTTTTCTGTAATAAGTTGTTCAGATCTGATGAACACCAGCAGCGGAGACTTCCCAAAAAAAGGCTAAGCAGTCAAATGTCTAACACCCCTTGAAAGCCAGGGGGGAAAAGGTTGCTTTAGGGCAGAAAATAGCCAGTTGTCACCTTCTCATTCAGCAGCAGCCCTTCCCTCCCCATGATAACTTTTCTTACCTCTATTACGATAAACCCTGAGAACTGAGGGGGAAAATCAGATCACAGGACATGCACTTTGGGGGGATCTACAGTCACCTACTTTAGACACAACCCACAGCACCCAGGTTGGAGATGTAAGTTACCTGCCAAAGGACAGAGGGCTTAGGCTATTAAGGTCAGAGGCTTAAACACAGCCCACAACACCCACCTTTGTATATCCCCAAGTCCTGCATGCTCAGTAATTTCATTCAGACTGGAGTCTGCCCTGCTTCCAATACTATCAAGGATTCCAGGTATTAAATCTGACATGTGATAAGCAAATAGCAATGCTTTCAGATCTAAGATGAAGCTGTTAAGATTGGAGGGGTGAAAATATCTGCAAATTCATTACATGAGCTCTGAGTGTTAGTGAAACAATAAACCCTTTGATTCCCTTTTATTGGAGCCACCTCTGAAAAGAGTGCTCTTGCAGGAACACTCTCTGGGTAGCTAGGTTTTGCAATGAGATCACAGGATCTTGTCAACTCTCTTGCATTTCTCTGCTACCTTAGATTTCAGCCTTGGTGCTTTTAATGTTGATGCATTACAACATTTTCACTGAGCAGAAACAGAGAAATGCGTATCTCAGAATGTACCAGCCATCCCTAGTTAAGGTACATATGTTCTCTCATGAGATAAAGGTGCTACTAATTGATCTTTTCACCTCTGTATAATAAAATTATGACAGCAGAAAAATTGTCTCCTGCTAGCATGAGAAGTCAAACCAATAAAGAAGAATGGGGAGAGGAAAGGAAATGAACTGCAAGTCATCTCGCCTATGCCAAGCTGCAGATTTCAGAGGGTTTCACTTCATTTTCTGAAATATTCCTGAACTCCCCACACTTCCCATGCTAGGACAAGCAGATGGAGGTTAGTTACCTTAGTCAATGTTCTGTTGGGGGGCACTGGCCTGATATCAAACTGGAGATCTGTTGTCAAAGGCATCCCAAAGCTCCAGCCACCATACCTGAGTGAAAACGAGAGGGAAATGCATTGCTACCCTCATTCAAAAGCTTTAATACCTTTGGCTGGTGCATGTTCATGTGCCACTGTCACCCCAGTTAATTCTAGCTTGACTTAAAAGAACTTACCCCAGTACATAGTGCGTGGCCAAGCCAACACTTCTACAGGAGCCCTTATTTGGGGAAAAAAGGGTAACAGAATCTTGGTAGCACTATCACACAACTGTGCTGAAAGCCTCCATCTGAGAAACATTTTGGAGCTGCGTGGACTCCTAACCCACTTGCCTACCACATTGGAATAAGATGACTGCTTCTTACCCAGAAGAAGAGTAGCTCAGCTTAAATCAATGGCAGATGAACATACTCCTTGACAACCTTAATGTCAGGCTATTTTTGCCCGAAGACATGCTGCACGGCTGTGTTGCAGAGTCCAGACACACTAATAGCTCTAACAGCCCCATGGTGCAAGAAAACGTTCAGCTGCTAATTTCACTGGAACGGATGCACTTGTTTAAGTGAAGCACACACCAAGACTCTTCAGAGAATCAAACCTGGAGGAAAGTCTCTCCCCAGGGTTTACTTCCTGACAGGCTGCGTCAGATTTCCCTCTTTTTAAGCATTTCTGTGTCAGACAAAGGCTTGTCTGCAGATACAGCCATCAGCCTATCAGATGACTGACACATTATCCCTGGGCTATCTCTGCTATCATCAAGCAGAGCACTTGCGCAAACCTTTATCTTTTAACTCCATGATTGCGGACATTTTACCTCCTTTCACCAGATTCACAGGGACCATCAGCAGAGAGGCCCTTCTAAACTCCTACTGCCCTGTCACCTCTTCAAGCCCAGTGGATATGACACGTGTAAGAGGCTGCTCCCAGTACAATTCAGAGGAGAGGGACTGGAGATTCATGCTGTACCGTTTCTGCAGGAAGTCTTTGGTAGTTGCCAGAATGTAGGTCTCCACATTGTGCCCTGTAAGGTTATAAAGTGTCCGCGTGGAGAAGGTCCTTCTGTGAGGGGGAGTGTAGTTCGTCTGTGGACATGTCTGAGGAGAGACAAATAAGCAAAAATGTTAAGAGTCTGCGTTTTAGCTAAAAACTAGCCTATCAGGACAAGAATGAGAGCAGGCAATGGCAACATTCAGGTCCTGGGAGTGATTCCTACAGAAGCTGATGATTCACAAATCAGGGTGCAAAGACACATGGCACAGATCCCTGCATGCTGTCCTGAACACACTTAGTGAGGTGCTTAAAAACAACCTTTGCTTAAATCTACACTTCAGTTCTACTGACATCAGTGAGACCTTGAAATGTGCGTCATGCTACATCGGACGATTTTTGCTGAATTAAGGCTGATCCTACTTAGCAGAGCATCAGAGTGACTGCACAGACAAAGGCAGAGGGCAAAACAGCTCATGGAGCAGAAAACTCCATGGTGGCCTCAAACTCTCATCTTACATTTCACAGCAGCTACGCTCCACATTTCTGCTTTACTGTCAGTCATTGGGAATATTTTCCAGAGCTTCAGAGAAACCTTGGATTACTCCTGAATATATAATATAACGTGCTGAGAGTCAGAGTCACATCGACTGTTTCATAAGGTTGAAGTGTCCTACCAGACAGCATGCTGGCTGCTTCTTTCAGCTCATCCATAACAAAAGCCCTGGCCTCCCCCATTGTGTATCTGTTCATAACTTTGCATCAGAATACACAAAATAGCTTCCTTCATGCTGAGGAACACCTGCCTGTGCCTGCTAGAGGTGAGAATCAGCTTCGAACATTATTCTGACTTACTGGAGAAATGATGCCAATACTTTTAATGATGTGAAATTAAGTGTATGTCCAGAAAACTCCACAAAATAGCTGCATTCTAAGGAATGACTAGGAACATTCAACTAAGTACTTTCTTTATCTTACAAATGGCATCACACTACACCATGAGTCTGATTTCTTACTGGAAAAAAAGCTAAAGACAGGCGAATAGCACTGGAGGGAGGAGAGCTCAACCTCAAACTGGACTATAAAACTGTAACTATAAAAAAAAAAAACAAACCCAAAACAAAAAAACCCACATCGCTGGGGCAGAATCTGCCTTTCCCACCTGTGCACATAAAGACAATAAGCCCAGCAGTGCCCATACCCAAATCTGTATGTACCACCATAATGCAAATAACTGATGTTGTTAATCATCACTATTTATAACAACAAAGCAGAGTAAAAGCAGATGGATCTAGACTTTGCATGAAGTTAAATACTGAAGAGCAAACAGCAATAATAGCTGTGCTTTCATATAATGACAGTGCTTGTACGAAATGCAATTTTCCTCTTGAATATGTGTTCACCTCTGCTAAATGGGACAATCATGCAACATTGAAAAACACGGTTAAAACTTTTCCTACCACAGGGAGGAAGGCAGATATATTGGCATGTAAATCTTCTGAGGACGCTGTTTCCTTTCCTGTCCCCAAAGTGGTGCAGACAGTGGTTATCCAGTGTACAAAATCAACAAGGCCAAAAAGAGACAGGAGGAATCTGAACACTTGAGTTTCCCTTATTATCACACCTGCCCACAAAACCACTCCCAGTCTACAAGGGTCCCCAAATATCCCCTCAGATTCCCTCCCTTCTGGGTTTATTCAAATTACCTGGATGCCATCTGTGCAGTTGCAGGCAGAATACTCAGTTCTCTGGTTTCCACTGAAAATCCACTGGCCAAGCATGTCCTCTTTTAAACACTGCCTGAAAATGAACACATTTTCCTCTGAGGCTCTCTATGCTCAGGTGTGCAAACGATGCTAATTGCTGTCATGTTTAATGACAGCAAGGATGACAGTGAGCAGCTTCAGCAGAAAAGCAGACCTTCTTGTCAGCTCTGGGTGCTTCAGGGAACACCCGTCCTCCTGCTGCCTTCAGTGCCTCTCTTCAGAGAGCCCTCACTGCTGCTCTCTGTGCCTGGATTCGTTCTGCTATTTAGAAGGAATCCAGACAACACTTCATTCCCACAGTACAGGGTGTAAAGAGTTAGCACACAAAGGCCAAAATCATCTTACAGCGCAGAAATAAGGGCTATTGTCATTGCAATAACCGGGGAGTTCTGCAACGGACTGTATTGACTAGGCAGTCACTGTAAATACTCAGTATAAATATTTGCCTGCAGATATGCGGTATGCATGAGCATGCAAGTCTGCCCAGGATTTTACTACCTATTCCTTGAAATTTTATCTGCAGAGCCCAAAACAAATCAGCCCTCATGGCACAGCGTTTAGATACAGATAACAAAAGCTACGCCTAAAGCTTCCTGGGTGGGCTCAGTGTTATAGCTGGGATTACTGGGGAGGCAAGGACTACTTCCCAGATAGGATAGCTTGCTCTCGTCCTGGCATCCTGCCACCACCAAAGCTTCGCCCTTACTACTCATAGAAATAAAGGAGTCCACCTGTGGTGGAGAATACTTCTTGAAGCAAGCAAAGAACACCGGTGTCAAGGTCCTGGGACTGTGTGGAAGTCCCAGTCTCAGCCTCAGAAGACAGTATAGTTTCCTGACTTCAACAATATCTACAGTTCTGTGCTGGCAGGCGCAAGCCTTCACTCTAAGCCGCACGGGCTCTCGGCAGGGCTGAGGTCTGCTTCACACCAACCATGACTGCTCAGCCCCTCACTCAGAACTGACTTGCAGCCCACCAGCTCAACTCTGCGAGCAGCGCAAGCTGCAAAAGGCCAGTTAGATGTCTCCTAATGAGCTGAAAGATTCTTCAAGTCAATCTGAAGAGAGGCAGATTTTTTTTTTCTCTGCATGGGGCACCAACATATAAAAATTCTGCAGATGATCAAAGGTGGTTATTAAGGTCTAATGGCTAATAGTGTTATGTCAATTCTCTTGCAGATTTGGAATTTAAATGGAAGAAAACCAAGAACTACTTACGAATTGCTTTCATTCATGCACGTGTTATCCGTTCCAGGGAAAGCAAGCATCGAAGCAACTAAAGCATCTGTGGTTTCATTAAAATTCCTAAGATTTAACAGGAAAAAAAAAATGAAAAAAGAAAAAAAAAATCTTCAAGATACTTCCACTACCACTGAGCAGAGGAAAACTGTGTCAGTGTGTGCTGGTTTTGGCTGGGACAGAGTTAATTTCCTTCACAGTATCTAGTATGGGGCTTTGTTTTGGATTTGGGCTGAAAACAGTGTTGATAACACAGGGATGTTTTCGTTACTGCTGAGCAGCACTTACAGAGTCAAGGCCTTTTCTGCTCCTACCAGTGAGAAGGCTGGGGGTGCACAAGAAGTTGGGAGGGGACACAGCTGGGACAGCTGACCCCAACTGGTCAAAAAGATATCCCACACCATATGATGTCATGCTCAGCATATAAAGCTGGGGGAAGAAGGAGGAAGGGGGGGGACATGTTTGGAGTGACGGCGTTTGTCTTCCCAAGTCACTGTTACATGTGATGGAGCCCCGCTGTCCTGGAGGTGGCTGAACACCTGCCTGCCCATGGGAAGTAGTGAATTAATTCCTTGTTTTGCTTTTTTCGCTCGTGCAGCTTTTGCTTTACTTGTTATAAACTGTCTTTATCTCAACCCACGAGTTTTCTCACTTTTACTCTTCTGATTTTCTCCCCTACCCCACTGGGGGGCGAGTGAGCAAGCAGCTGTGGGGTGCTTAAGCTGGGGTTAAGCCATGACAGAATGAAACAAGATTTATTTAAGATACTAAATAAATGGTTATTTGTGGTCCTAGCCCTGCAAACCACTTAAGTACATGAGGACAGTCACACAGGTTTAAAAGGACTGCTTATTGCTTAGAGCTGCACACCTACTCCAGTGATTTGCTGCCTCTAGGTCTAAGGAAGGTACTGATGAACTTTTGGACAATCAAGATTCTGTTTCCAGGAAAAAAGCATCTACTGTAATTTTCAGGCACTACTTCCAGTCCTGTCTCAATCAGCTCTCTCATTTGTGAAGTCCATTTGGTTTTGGTCATTGAAGAAGATGTTTCTTGCTTCTGACCCAGCTTTCTAGCAACAATCCATCAGGAGAAGCAGAAGAGAACATTAGGAACAGAGGACTCAGACATGCCTTTCTGGCTCATTCCCCCATCTAGCAGCATTGAAGTGGCAAGGCATGAGCTGTCCTGGGGAAGAATACCTAAGAGCAGACATACTTCCTTTAGAGCTAAGTTTTATATTTCTGACTTAAAGCTGAGAACCACTGGAGAAAGACAGCCATTCACATCATGAAATCAGAATGATACAAATCATAATAATTTTGGTAATAGGATTTTTAAGCACAATTAAATAATTCAGTGGTGACATCTTAATCATACTGAAAAAGTGCACGCCCTCAAATGATGGCGTGCCTTGGACTAGTGGGGCCTGGGTGAGAGAGCATGTCCTGTAGTGACAGAGAGGAGGGCAATGCAGACAGTTCACATGATGGATAGAAGCTGATCCCAGAGTAGTTATGCTGGAGACAACTGATGTGGGGACCTCCATTTCACATCAGGGGAAGAGTGTATATATATTAAGAAAATCCCTTTGGGGCAGTACGGCTGTCACAGGGCCGGAGGACTCCAATGGCAAACAAAGAATATTCCTCACATTTCACAGTTAATTCCAACTGAGAGGTTGTTTTCTTAAAGCTTTCTGATTGCTGGTCTGAGCCAAGCCATCTCCCCAAGAGACCCATCAAGAACAGGATTTCTACATGTTATCTGCATAACAGCTACACAGATAACATGGCTACATATTATCTGCGTAATACTTTTCCACTCAGTCTGCTTAGAAATAATCCTGACGGTAAAACTGGCTCTTTATAAACAAATGGGTTTAAGGATCTCAAAGAATACCACTCACCCAAAGAAGTCTGCCTGGTCTGATGTGCCATACAGAGACGGTGAAAGAATCAGTTCAGGATATTCGGTCTCCTTAGTTCTCAGTGTCCCAAGTCCCATCGCAGCCATCACAAAGAGGACTGGAAGGATAACCTGAGCAATGAAGCCTCTGACATCCCGACGGGTGTGGTGGAATCTCTTAATGAACAAAGCTGATGTCTTCTTAAGCAGCAATGGCAAACCCTGCAGGCTTTTTGATCTAATCAGGAGCTGATCTGGGTACAAAAGAAGAACACATTTTGTCATCGATCAGTATTTGCGAAATGCAGGGAATTGATGGTTATAGTAGCCTGGGAGTATACTTAGCTTCCTGCACTCCTTTACAGACGGCAAATCAAAACTACTAAGCTGGAACATATGCAAGGGTCAGGCTTGGAACAGGACTCAGACTTTTGGCTCTTGAGTCATAAGCTCATGTAATAGCAGGTTTTCTGTTTAATTTCAAATGTGTTCATGTAGTGGATTCATTTCGGGATCTTGCAAGAGGAACACAGGTTTCCAGATGCCACAAGGTATCTACATCCTACCTACTCAGCTGCAACTTACAGGGGAAATTTTTACTCTTTTATATTTGCAAACTGAAAATTTTCATAATTTAGAAAGCAGGTCCTCAGACAAATCAGTAAGAGAATTAATCCTGAAATAAGAAAAAAAGGCACATAAAGCAGTTGACCTTTTGCGTGGACAGGGTTGTGGTATGCTAAAAGCAGAGCCAAATCCTGTGCAACCTATTCCTCTTTATGAAATATTAACCTATATAATACAACATGAAGCAAATCCTTTTCAGTGCTCTCATTAGGGGTGACGCAAAACACTTCTCTACACATGAGTTACTTTTTACAGTAACATTTACATTGTAGGTCAGCTTTGAGAAGTGAGTACAAAAATACCTCTGCACTGCCCCTTGGATGCCTCCCTAACTATAAATGGTATATTTATAAGTACAAAAAATGTTTCTACTCTAAGAAAGCATTTCAATCAGGTATTTGCTCATTTTTTGGCTGTGCTACCTTTTGCAGCTCTCAAACACTCAGAGGGAGAGGTATAGCTTGATTCTCTTCTGAATGTGAATTTATCCCATTGTCTGTCCCTTTGAGATGTTTTACCATACTGCAACTGCTGGGACACAGCAAAAAGCGGCAAGGATGACCCAGCTTGGAGCTCTGCTGCTTTTGCAACAGGCTAAGGGGTTTAACAAAAAGTATCTCTCCAATTCTACTAGTTATGTAGAAATAATCCTCTACATCAATTACAGCAATTACTTTCAGAGGTATACATTTGGTCTTTCACCCCCACACTATATCTGATTAGAGTAAAACCCAGATCAATTTAAAGGAAGGCAGATGCAAACAATCCCCCTCTGTAATTTATTCTGTGACTCAGGCTATTCCAAAACTAGCAGATCTAAACAACTGTCGAGTGCTCTACCTCCAGTGACTTATTGGTTTTGTGATTCCTGGTTGGGTGAAAAGTGGTTTTCAACAAAGAAGGAAGATGGGGAACTCATATCAGTCCGTCTGTCATTGTTTGCATCTGCAACAAATCTGGAATAAAACCTGGAGGTAATTCAGTACCGTCTCTTTCTGTGAAGGTATCCGTGCTCATAGATATTTCGTCACTGCCAATTTGACCACTGGCTCCAGGCAGCTGCAGGGGCAGTTCAGCATCTCCTTGCTGGTCCTTCACTAGCTCTTTTGTCAGATTGAGAAACACCTATGGAGCAAGAAAATACGAAGGAAAATTGGTCCAAATTACTCCATTTACCAAAACAATAATCAGAATCCACTCTCCTACTTTGTAGCTGTAGTTGGTACAGCAATTGTGAATTACAATCCTTTTTCTGTTCCCTTTGTGCTCCGCAAGAGAAATTCCCTTTTTTTTTTTCAGTATAAAAGTGTTGTTGTCCATCTCCTTGTCACCTCCTGTCTCCCTCCTGTTGCAGCAGTGGAAACAAACTTTTGCAGCTGCCCCCTGGACTTACCTTGTCCTAATACCACCTGCTACGTGACTACTGAGTAGGTCTAAACGAAGCTGCATTTCAGCTCAGGCCCTACATAACTCCCTCCAACAGTGAGCAGTCCACAGATGGCTCTTTCTGCACAGCACCAGTGAAGGAACAAGGAAGGCTGTTTCCTTGGGACATTTTCCCTGCTAGCCTGCGACAATCCCAGCTGCCTCCAATACTGGGAATGTGCACAGTCGTGGCACCCAAGCTGCATGTGGTGCATGCTGTATAACTTACTCTTGCTGCCTTAGGAAAACACCTTAAAAGTAAGCAAGAATTTCAGAGAAGAAGGGTAACAATCTCTCTCCCTCTTTTCTGCAAGACAAGGGTCATCGCTGCTCACCATTTAAAGTTACTTTTTGTTTCTGATACAACTAAATGTTTGTGTTTATTTGACCAGAGATTTCCCACGGGCAGAAAGGTGTCTGTGTTACTCTGAGATGCACCAGGTGACTCATTTGTACAATGCAGCATGCACGCTGAAGTTTGTCACTTAGATGGTTTGCTAACTCCCTCCCTGCTGACTGCAGCTGCAGACAAACCCAGATTCATGGAGACCAGGAGAATAGTTCAAAGAGAAACACATCATTGCCCTCTCTCCTTAGACTAACTCCAGCATCTCATTTTCTGGGTAAAATGCCAAAAAGCTGTTAGCAAGGTGAAACAGTGGTGAACTGTGCATTAGTATATGTACAGATTCATGAATACATCTGCACTCACACATTCACAAGTGTAACACAGCAAACTACCAAGCCACTTCTTCCCCTGCCTGCAACTCTCACATCAAAAACATGCCACTGTCTAGCCCAGAAAGCAGAGCTACACAGTGCTGTGAAGTTTATCTCCATAATATTTCATTAAATTGAGCTCATACCTCTTCCACAGTTGTGTTTGAAATCCCGTAGCAACCAAGGTGGAGATCACTCAAGCTGGTATCGAGGGCTCTGAGAAGTGTCTGGTAGGCCCCTGAGACTGTGGACTGGAAGGGGGGAAGCACATACACAAGCTCTCCACCAATATCCTCCTTGAGATAAGCCTCTGGGAGGTGGGACTGGATCAAGGAGGTCACTGCTGTGGTGTCACACTCCTCTATCATGTTCTGAAAAAGGAGGAAAACATCATGGTCACTGAGGGCTGCGAGGTCAAACTTCCCACCACAGGATTTAGCCCAAATCCTGTCCCATAGAACAATGAGTAGGTGATCTCAGTCCAAGGATGCAACAATTCAGTTTAAATATCAAGAGGAGATGAAAGTAGGTTTCTGGCCCTTGAAGAGGAGGGGTGTGTGCCCATCTTGGTCCGTCCAAGACCTTGCTGGGCTTCCTCTGTCTACTGGGATACTGGGAGTGGGCTGAATCAAACACTTTGCATTGGAGGGTTTGTACGGACCTGACACGAACTTGGCTTCTAGCACAAACACACTCTTTTCTCATGAAAAACAGGGCTTGCACATGGGTCTTTTTTCATTTTCTCTATCTATACTGCCAGCAATTTGGAAAAGAGGCTGATCTCTTATGGTATCTGCATGCTATTCTGTGTGCTAGGGCTACCAAGAGCACTGTAATAAATGCTATCAAGAACAGAGTTCCCTGCTCCTTGCAAGCAGAACATTTTGCCTCAGGCCACATACTATTGATGGACTCTTCCCATCTGCTTCATTTCTCTGAACTCCAGAATTCACACTCTGCACCCAGCCTTGCCTTTAACCCTCAGAGAGACCCTGTTCTTTTTCAGCAAAGAAGAGCACTGACATTCCTCTTTTCCAATGGCCCTGCTGGAGAGCTTCACTCTGCTTCAAGGGAAGTGGGGGGCCACATGTTCTGTTAGCAACTTTCACCGAGAAGCAATATGCTCATATCCAGATCCTCAACGGTTCTTCAGTACCACTACTGTCCTTGGATCTGTCGCTCAGCTCCTGCTGATATAGCTCTAAGTGCCTGCATCCCTGAACAACCCTTGACAGCCCCCTCAGAGGCAAAGCTGCCGAGAGGTCTAGCTCAGCTCCATGTAGGCTCAAACAGGAGAATCTCTGCCTCTCCCCCTGGCAGTGCCTGCTGCAGTGACCGTGCTCATGGGACACAAAAGCAAGCTAAGGTCCAGCGGGGAAGGGAAGATAAAAAGGATACAGAAGGCTCAAGTTCAGATCTCTGCCTTGTCTATTAATGCTGCAAGCCTTTGTGTAGAAGGGCTGAAGGTAAGACTCCTGTGTTTTGGGGAACTATCCACACAGGCCATATTTCTGAAGGAAACTTATTTATAAAAAAAAAGAAAGCATATGAATTCCAGCATGGGACAGGCAGAGCGAGCCAGAGAGCAGAGCGCACTGTAACCCAGGTATCCCAGTGGTTGGGGCATACGAAAAAATTATCTTCGTGGCAGCCCAACGAAACAGTCCGGCCTATTCTTGAACCTGTGTGGCCAAATCCAAGGGTTTCAACCCAAAACATACTCCACTTTCACCCAGACATAAAGTTGACACATAAAGAAGTTATTCCATGAAAGTGAAATTATACTGGAACAACCATTCCACTGCAGACATCTGAGACGCAGATGAACCTTCTGCAGCATGATTCATTTCTGTGGGACACTATGACATGTCTCCTTCCTTCCTGTCATATGACTGACTCAGTTTCCCACCCAAGATGCTGAAAATTTAGGACCAACTCAGACACAAACCTTCTTTTTTGTGAGGGTCAGGTGGTATCCATCACCAAACGTTTCCTTGAGGTAGAATGGTGAACCGCAACATTTGAGCCCTCCATGCTCTAGGAAGGCAATTCGGTCACTCAGAACTTCTGCTTCATCCAAGTGATGTGTTGAGAGAATGATGGTTCTGCCTGGAAAACAGAAAGCTGATGCCAGTCACCACAGAATAAACACATGGGATTACATGAGACAGGTGAAAGCGATGCTGAATGAGGGGACAGTATCAGGTGAAAATCATCCGTGCTTTTTTGGAATTACTAGTGAAATTGGATGAAAGGCAGCATTAGAGAGAAGCTGAAAGTTACTGTATTGTAAATTGTGTATTATGTTAAAGTTACTTTTCAAAGGAGACTATGAATTTACAAAACCCAACCAGGATGCACCCAGAGGGCTTGCAAAATCCCAGTCTCCCAAAATTCATTCTCTGTGGTCTCTAAAACCGACAGTTCAAAGCCACTGATACCATGTTTTCAAAAGTGACATGAACCACCTTTGCCACTGGGCAGGTTCTTGTCTCATCACAGTACCTTTTTTATTCTTGGAGATAATTTCCCAAATACTTCTCCGAGAGCACGGATCCACCCCTGTGGTTGGTTCATCTAGTATCACCACCCTTGATCCACCCAGGAGAGCAATAGCTATAGATAACTTCCTCTTCATCCCCCCAGACAGGGAGCCAGCTAGCTTGTGACGATGGCTGTACAGTCCAGTCTCCTTCAAGGTCCTTGAAAACAAAGGAAAAACAACCCCCAAAGGTTGTCCTTCAAGCATCTTTTAAAAGCAGAGAATCTGAAAATACCCAAAAAACCCCATAACTGCAAATGAAAAACTGCTCAAGTATGGACTGCTCTACTGAATGGTCACAGTGCAGGGAGATGATTCACCCTGTGGTTCAGTCATTGGGATTTTAATTTAAAACATGTTTTTAGGACATTTTCAAAGTTTCCATCTGACAAGTCAAGGTTAAAGGCTCAACCCCATCAATTGAGAACACTACGATCCAAACTCCCTGGGTTGTTCTGACTGCTTCACTTCTCCGCAGAACCAATAAAGCCTACATCATCTTTCTGACTGGTTGATTAAATCTCTTTCTGGGGAAAATTGTAAAGCAGCAAGGACTAGACCCTTAGGCCTATAAATTCATCTCCAAGGAATTGCCGCAGAAGTTTGTAAACCCCCTTGGAAAAGAGACGTTATTTTCTTACAGCCACGAATATCAGCACTCAATATATTCCTCTAGTCAGACCAAGGCGTTATTTTGAACTCTACGCAGGGTGTGCAACAGTCCTCAAAACCATTCATTTGAGCTTTGCAGTGGCCATGGCACTACCACACAATCATTTTGCCAGCCCTCTCTCCCTTCTCCAACCCTGCTATTTTTATACCTCTTCACTTCTTGGTAGAGCTCCTGCTCACTCCAGTGAGGGACTTTGATGTACCCGTAGAGCAGCAGGTGTTCCTTTGTGGTGAGGTAGTTAAAGAGCACGTTGTGCTGCATACAAACCCCCATGTTCTTCCTGATAACTTCCTGGTCAGTCCTGATGTCTTTGCCATACACAAAGATAGTACCCGATGATGTAGGGAACAATCCAGTCAAAATAGATCTGAAAGGGAAAAATAAATAGAAAGGGGAGTTAGAAAAAGGAGAAAGCCACAGGCAATTTTTTTCATATGGTTCTGTACCTATCATCTCTTTCAAATCTTCCCTACATCACCATCACGCTTCTTCCAGACAGAGACCACTGCTGCTTCTGCTGTCTGACCACGCTTTGGCAGAGTGGTGGGCAATTAACATCAAAGGGCATCCTTGCACCCCTCTGTGGGAATGCCAGGGCAAGCACCAAGCTCACACACTGAACTCTGGCTACTTTTCACACATACTTTTATCTTCTTTAGCCTTCCCTTTCCTAAGTCAGACCATTGCATATCCCATACATCAATACTCATGAACACCCTTGGGCTTCCAATTTAATCACTGGGAATTCATATAATGCAGTTACTCTTCAATCTTTGAGGTTTGTCTGCAATATCCAGACAGCCTCATATGGCTAACCACAACAGAGATTGAAAACCACATCTTCATCTTACTAACCACATCAGAGCATAGAAACCTGATTTCACTGCCATTATTAACAAGAAATGGGGGAGGGCTTCCAGACAAGACACCTCACAGTGGGCAGCACTTTCATCTAGTTCAAGCAAATAATTGCCTACCTAGCAATACCTAACAGACCTCGTTCAAACACCCTCTGCTCAGAATAACTACTTGCACAATACAGGTCATTTTTGGTGCTGTCCTACAGACACTAAGGGGAGAAGATGTGTCTCAGACTGCCCTTCACCTTCCCAGAGATTCTCTCGTTCCTGGGGCTTCTAACCATCATTAAAAAGGAAGGAAGTAACTTGTGACCTTATTCAGGATTTGAAGCCTGCATGGAGTCTCAAGAAGCCATTCTACTTTTCTGTATGTCACCTTTGCCTACACTTTGCAAAGAGCCTATGAAATGAATTGATAATAAGCTGAGATGAAGCACACATCTGTCTTACTGGTTTTGGCTCTTCTGAGGCTTCTATTTATCAGCTTAATGTTGCTTTCAGAGTGATGCACATATATATCAGTGGAGAAATCAAGTTCTACAGGTCTGTTTTAGTGCTGTTATCTAACAACTCAAATAATAATTTATAAATGGCAGGGCTGAAAAGCCGATGTATTAACCCACTGCCGTTCCAGCCCAGCCAACACATGAGTTTGTACAGCTGAAATATACCTTTATTAAGCTTTCTTGCTAATATCACTTCAGCTTTGGTGTGTGCACAAGCTACCCACAGCTTTCGGAACAGTCTAACCCCAGGCACCATAGTGTCATGGAACAAAATGCTAGAACAGCTGCTGCGCTGTGTATTACAGGTATCCTACCAGATTAAAAAGCATGTTCCTAAGCAGAAAAGAGCCTTTAATTCTAATAGATGAAGGGACTGCTGGGGTCACCCATGAGCAAGATAAAACTACTATTTGGCATAATAGAGCATCTTATTCAGTCTCCCAACACTGCACAGCCCCACTTGCACTCTTGTTCACCCGATTGTGCCCCACCCTGTAAAAAAGAAGCAGCTTTAAAGGATACGCACATGGTTGTAGTTTTCCCGGCTCCGTTGTGTCCCAGCAGGGAAGTGATATTCCCCTCATAGAAGTTGAGGCTGAGGTTGTCCACTGCAGCTTTGGATCCATAAAGCTTTGTTATGCCATGGAGGGAGACTCCCAAGGTGAGATCAGTGGGCTCCGGTTCCAGGTGAGGAGGGGGGGCACCTTTGACACCAAAGGGAAAGGTCAGAGGACGGTTACTGCACTGCAGCAAGTGTTTGTGCTACTTTTCTCACCTCAGAGATAAGCAGAGTTTTTAAAACCAAAATACAGCAAAAGTAGGCGCCTTTCAGCTAGGAACGTAGACAGCATTTCACAGGATCTGTATCATTTTAAGCTCTCTCGGATTTCTCCTTTTTACTTCCGCAGCTTCTAATAACTCCTGACAATAAGCATTAATCACTTTTGAAAAGGTCTCATATTTAGATGTTTCAGAGCACCTAACTTAATTTATACTAAGCAAGCACAGAAAATTAGAGGACATACAGCAAAAACTACTGAATTATTTTCAGTTAGGTAGAATCAGCAAGCTTTTATGTGTGATCTCACAATATTTTATAGGCTAAATATTTAAAGAGATGAACAAAGAAGCACACAACCCTTTTGCCAAGTGGAAACTTCTACTTGCTTGCACAAACAAAACTGCATTTCTACATAGAGCATTGTAGACTGAGATACATGCATCTAAGTTAACTGCCCAACTACAATATACACAAATATGTATGTGAATAACGGTACTGGACTTCCAGAACAAACAGGAAGGACAAGTATAAGTTAAAAGCCAAATCTCCATTCAGGTAAGTAACAGCTTCCCATTTTTCTTGTGCTACAAAATCAGAATCAATACAGAAACATGTTTTCCTGTATGATGCCCCTTTACAAATCTGGCTTCGTTTACCTAAAATGTTAAGTTAGTATCGCTACCCCATCTAGCAGTCACATACATATCTTATTATTGAGGGTGGCTTCTTTCCTTAACATCAGCTTGGTGAAGAAAAGGCCTCTTCGTTTCTCATTCCAGAAGGGGAGGTAACTGTTGTATTCGATCCAGTAAGATGGAAGCAATGGGAAATACCAGGGAGCAGCCATGCCATATCTACCTGCAAGGAGAAGAGGAATATCATTCAGGTATCTGTTTCTGTAGGAAGTATCAATACTGGGGTGCACTCAAAATAGCAAAAATAAACTCCACCGAGACCTCTCCCGTCTTGATGTGCTCATTTACAATTGATACTTGGTAAAGAATTTGCCCAATTGACACAATAGGAAGCATTCACTAATTTGTTATTCTCAGTAGCTTCATAGCTGGAGGGCAGGAGTACTTTACATTTTCCACTGGGTAGATTTCCGTATGCCAGTAGACTGCTTCATTAGGTGAGGAAGAAAAGCAAAAGGCAAATGTACTGGCTCTTGCCCAAGGCAGGAATTACTTTTTGAAATCAAATGATATAAGGAATGCAACACAAAATCACTCAACTGACAAATGCAGGCTAACATGCTCTGTTCTCATTTTCACCGAGCAGACCACAAACACATCTTCCCATGTCCTTGGCTTCAGCTTCTTCAGGAGAACCGCCTACCCATGTGATAAGCAGAGGAACCCTAATTCTCCCTTGCTCTGCTGTCTCAGTTTCATAATACTCTCAGACATCCACCAAGTCATGCTCCCTTTGATCTAGAAACAGGGATATCCTGTGTCTTACTGTCTGAATGATGGAATCAGCCAGTGTTGTATTCATTGTGTTCCAAAAGACATGGTACAGCACCAGCCTCAATACTTTGTATCCTTACCTGGGAAAACATTCCTTATATACCATCCCAGGATGAAGTAAATGAAAGAGTCTATCAGAATGAGCCAGCACATCCAGCCAAAGGAAGTGTTGTCTCCAATCATTGGGGACTTATACATGTTGTCCCACTGCAGACCTGCAGAAAGGAATTTAGAAATACAAACAGAATCCATATTAGTTAATGAAATGTCACAACCACAGGAGTTTAAAGTCTAGTTTTGTCTACAATACACATACCTATGCCCTGTGCCTCATATCGAGCAATGTATTGACTTGCATAACTGAACGCAGTTGGAGACAACAGGCTCTGTGGAATAAACAAAATGGAAAAAAAAGAACTTTAATTAGTGTCAAAGAGAAACCAAGTCAGTCAACCAATGAGGTACCTCATTGGCTTGGTCCAGGGGCCAGAAAAACGAGTGGGTTTTTTTGTTTTGTTTTGTTTTTTCCCCAACAGTCACAAGGAGCACTGGACCAGGCTTATGATGGGCAGTGCTTCTGGTGATGTGCTGTAATGTCTCCTTAGAACTTGCCTTCCTTTTTCTTCCACAGCCAGGACCCATCTTCCTCCCTCATCCAGGGCTTTATTTTAGGCTTTTGAAACACAGCAGTGCTTGAGTTAATAATTTTAGCATTTGCATTAATACATGTCCTTTCACTAGTGACTCAAAGAAAACAAGTCTGGCTACTGGAACCTAATACCAACTTATTTCTACCCTTGGTAAGAAACAAAGCTTTACATCTATTTCCATGGCTAGGAATTTGAGATACATGAAACTAAAGAATGAGCAGAGCCAGCAATGAGCAGAGCCCAGCTACCTAAACTCCTTACCCCTTACCACTTTTCATGGTGGTTGAAAGTAACCCATTTTGCTTTGCAATTTGAAAGGGCAAAGTATGTAGCTCAAACTACTCTGATTCAGCTGGCAGGTGGGAACTCACTGAAATTCCCCAAGTATCACTTTCAGTCATGGAACACAACTAATTCCAAGTCTCCCTCAAAGAGGCCATGGCCAACTCTCCTGTCATGCTGTCATACCTGTCAATGCCCACTCATGGAATTTAGAAAGGCAACCAACTCACATATATTTGTGACACAAGCCATAATAAGAGCTGAAGTTTATTGAAGGTGAGTGTCTGCTTCTACACACATGGTCCCTGTAACTGAAAAGCAGGACTTACCAGCAGGCTCTTCACAGAGAAGCTCAAATGATTCTCGATGACTAGCAACACGATGAAGGGGAAGAAGGTGAGGATGTACACGAGACTGCCCACCAAGGCTGCTATGTTGGTGTTATTGAAGAAAACACTGATGAAGTAGCTCATGGCTATGATGGACAGGCTGTAGTCCATAAGGTACAGGAACAGGAGCGCTGTGTTTGTTTTGGGAAGGATGTCACCCACTTTTAGAACAATGATGAGGAAGGTGACAGTAATTAGAAGGAAGATGGCGCACTCTATGAACCAGGCGATGAAATGGCTGCTGGCATTAACACCCATCATTTTCATGTACTATAGAGAGAAAGGTGAAAAAAAAAAGAATCACAAATGATAACTGTTTATTAAGAGATCCTTCTTCAGATATTGAGCTGTTTCTTTTTTCAGTTTCTGAACAGAGCATACAACCAAACATGCTCTTTCATACTTTGGCATACTGCATGTTGATAACCAGGCAGAAACAATGCACTCACACTTCTGGAATGCCCTAGGTTTGCAAAGCAACCTATTGCAAAAGAACAGCACAGACAGGATCTGCAACTATGAAGCATCACAGCCCACAAGCTCCAAAGCAACTTCTGGCCTTATATTTGTTGCTTTTCTACAGCATTTTGGTTATTTTTTAAAATATTGCTAATCGATCCAGTGGCTTCAATGTAAAAGTTCTTAAGTATCTTTGAAACCAAACCATTTCTCACACACCCCCAAGACAACAAGTAATAGCTAAATTACCATGGTTATAAGGAAGCAATATTAATTTATATTAGCTGATGAACAAGTCCACAAAACTGTAAATTCATATTGATAAAGAAACTCCAGGTGCTGGTGTCTTGTAGGTTATTACACATCTAAAAAGATCACTGAGACACCCTGCTTTTTAGAGACAGTGAAACTGGGTTCCTTAAACTGCAGTAAGGGGTTGTCACAGCTAGCCACTGGGGTTCACTCATTTTCAGTCTTCTCGCCACAGTTCATAGAGTGCCCTTTCTTTGAACTATTTTTGGTGAATCTATTTTTTTCCATGGTACTGGATAAAAAACAAATCTGCTTGAGCTTTTGTTGCTTGCTGAAGCTTAGTTTTACAAAAGTTCTTCGCTGTTCGTCTCTGTTGACTGTGTTCACACTGAAAACCTGAATTAATTTAATAAATTCACTATGTCTCAATGTCATTTCTTTTCCAATAGGCAACCTGAATAAGAACTTCAGTTCAGAGTAGCTGATGTAATATGTAGCACCTTCTGAAATATTAAGTATAACAACTTCAGGGATGGGAAATAAGTCACTTTTCATGTCTTTGTCCCCAGTAGGTATGACTCAAAGTCAATTTTTAGAGAGCTTTAAATCTTCAGAAAACTTGTAATTTTGTGAGGTCCCCATGTTTCCAGTGTTTGGAACTGCAAAGCAATATTCTCACCACTTGAAGGGCAAATGCCCTGCATCTCCATGGTTTTGAGCTTGGTTACAATGTCAGAATTAAAACACTGCAGGTCAAACAATAGGTATTTGGAATATTATTTTCCTTAATGCTTGTTTTGCTCCATTTAATATTGCACATGAGACATACTATCCACTAATAAGGAAAATCTGTTTATAATTTTGCACGCCCCAGAAAGTTTTACCATACCTCATAAAGCCTCAGATCTTTCTCTTGAACAAGTGTTTTAACAAAATCAGCTATAAACAGCACCCAGGCAGCCATCAGAGCAAATGGAAGAGAGTAGGTCACGCTGGTTAAGAACCTGTAAAAGGCAAATGCAGGCTTTAGCTGAATACGAAATGTTCTGGGGATTAAGGCTTTAACAGAATATATTTTTCAGAATAATACTTTGGCACAGCAAAAGACATGCTTATATTTCACAATGTGGAGTATAATTAATAATTATTAAAAAGGCTATTTTGCCATTGCATCAGATTTTCTATTCATGAAACTCCTGACTGTTCAAAATAATATTTTTTTTTTAAATTACAGAGGGATTTCTTGATGCATTCTGGAAGTTTTGCTCAGCAGCACCACTGGCAGGAACAGGGACCGCCACGGGCTGTGGCATCCCCTGGCTCTCTGATGGGGGGTGCATCCCATTTTGTAACATCATGGCTACTACCTTGCGCATGATCTCTGGGCTATTAAAAATTCAGCATTTCCCAACACCT